TTTTTCAGGCTTCTTCTTTCCAATTGCTTAAATTGGAAAATTTACTGCGATGATCACTCTTCACTTTTAACCGTGCTTTATCTACAGCGCAACCATGTTTCACATCATTTTTTGTTTAATTGTTTACTGTATTGATTATTTACTTTCCGTTCTCAAGCAGCCTACAGCTCTAGTTTATTTTACTGTTCTACAATTATTTTGAGCAATTTTGGACTAAGTAAAATTAACTAATTGGTCATCAAAATACGGCGGACGGTGTAAGAGAAAGCTTCGCGATTCATCAGGAAAAAAGGCGTCGAAATACATTATCTGGGTCGAATGAACTTTGTTAGCTAACCCTAGAAATGACAAATAGCCAGATTGTATAGGCTGCTTAATTAAGTCTGTCTGAGGGATGTTAACAAAAATAAGATATACTAGCGAAACATTTGAATATAGCTAAACTCGAAAGCTCATTAACAGGATGTGAGTCTTCTTTTTAATGTAACATTAAAAGGTTTATCCTTACCTGATACRATATWCTGTTTAATCCTTCCCTTCTTTCTAATAAGGATGTCCCAAAGGGTTCCAATCAGGAACAATCCAGCTAAGATGCCAAATGATACGTACATGAATTCCTTAATGAAGGGGGATGACTCGTCAAACAGGTTGACGTTTCTTGGAGGCTTCTGCTCTGTTAGCTTAAGGCAAAAAAGAACACCGCCATTTACATCACCTATATATATCACCCTGATTTAATATTGCCTGTTCACGGAGGGTTATTACGTTCCTCTTTGAACTGTCACTGAATATTGCAGTGATGTAAAGTTCAACATTCTATTGTATGTAATAAAATTTATTATTTTTGAAGGTTTCTTTCACAATTGTTTTAAAGTTAAGTTATACAATACAACATTGATTAAACTTTGAGGTATCATGCCTTTATCACTATTCGGTGGAACTTAAGGTTTTGTGCCGAAACGTAAGATGACTTTGTAAAAAATAACAGTAAGACCCAAAAACTCGAGTACGCATCGTCAACCTGGGACCTACATGTAAGTTATAAACAGTACAAAGAGCTTCCGTACGTGTCTGTACAAGCCTTTGACGCCAAACGCCTAGTATAAGGAATAGTGGAATTCCGAAAAATAACTACTCCCCGAAAGTAACGTTAACTTTTTTACCTTCCTATTGAACCCTGAAAGTAACGGTTCCCCCCGAAAGTAACGGCCTTTTGACGAAGTCACCAAAAGAGAAAGTCTGATCTCAAGCACAGTGCGGATGGAGCAGCCTGATTGCATAATCGAACAACTTGACGAGTTATTCGTTATTTTATTCCAAACTTAACTGAATTTTTGTTGAAACTATGATTTATGAGCTGCATTTCTCTTGCAGCAGAGTCAAATGATATACTGTAGTGTAATCAGTTGCATCGCGATATAATGCGATGTAATAGTTTCGCCCTACAGTACCAACATTGGGGCCTTTTTTGTTTATACAGTCTGCTTTGTTTATGCGGGTAGTTAGCAACACACATAAATGGAACTTTTATTTCATGTTACTCATCCGCTTCGTCTGAAACGACTGTTACCGTACAAACGTTTTTTTACCGTCCGAAAGTGACGGCTACCCATAAGTAACGGCTAAGCGAAAATAGCGGCCCCTTTTACCTGCTAAATCCGAAAGTAACGGGGTCCGTTACTTTCGGAATTCTACGGTATGTTAGATAGTCTTGGACTAGAAATTTTGAAAAAACGAGAAGGTAGTTAAGCGGACTAGTAATGACTGTATAAAATTATCCACGGACTTGTCAATATGAGTGTGCTTAATTATTTGCAATGATCCAAGAAAACCGTGCCATCATTTGACAATGAGGTTTTTAAATTCAAGACGCCGTTTAGCTATAACGTTGTTAAATATTTCCTTTACTCAAGATCTTTGAGGGACTGGAACTGTCTCCTAGCTAATGTAAGTACATCCAGCCATCGCTGGCGATGTTCCGAAAGAAAGTGACTGCTTTTAGGAATTAATTTCATGCTTCGCTTTTCCTGCACTATTTTCCAGCAATTTTTTCCTCTCCCTGTTTGTTATTTAACTATTTTAACTGTATACAGTTAGTGTGGTGCCTCGCCAGCTTTACTAACTCAAAAACGGTAAAGGTAAAGATCTTAAGTCTTCGCCTCGTTAGATTTTATATCGCTTTAGGGATCAGTCTACTGTTCCGTCATTTAGAATTCGAATTGTGCCATTTAAGTCAGGGGAGAATGACAGACAAGTGCTCATATTCAAACGTTTTATAGTAATGAAAAATACCTTATATGTAGCGGTAAAAGTTTGAACTGACTTCAAAATGTTTGAACGGTGAAAATTTAAGCACTCTGCCAGTTCCTCTGCATCTTGGGAAAATAGAACTCCAGTGTCCCTTTGAAGTTCTAGCTTCTTAACGGTGATAAGTGATTTTAATTTGCCTCTTGACTGATAATAGGAAGCTGTGAAGCAGTCCAGTAACATTCCATCTACTTCCTTTGATTTCACAGCTTGAATGACGTCGTCAATTCTGGAATACTCTAAACATTGGAAGAAAAAAGTTGACGTTAGCTTTAAACCCAGCTATTGAGAATAGGACCGAGAGCGTCAATCTGAAATTTGTGATCGTAATGAGAATTCTTAATTAAACGGGCATCTGATGTGTAATGGACGCCTAGTTTATTGTAATGTTACATTTAATTTTTCATGTACAAAACCTTTGCCTTCTGGTAAAAAAACCTGAATCAGATAATACGCGATGACTGTAACTGTACCATTCCCCTCTGAACCACACCAGATTCAAATATTTGCCCTTTGCATCAGTTTTTACCAACCTGTTGGTTTAGCATCTTCCTCAATTGCATGCTGGTATTCTGTACTATTGGCCAGCACTGCAACCTAACGTGAATTATGAAAACATATCGGTTATTTGATGTATATAAATGCAAATTTTCAATGCTCTTTCAACGAGCGGTTCCGAATGGAGAGTGCGAAGTCAGCAAGCTTCACTTAATTGTAAACAGGTGAACGACATAAAGATCGACGTGTTCATGAAAAATAGTGACTCGGATATAAGCGTTCTACAATAGTATATTTGCGCTATCCCTCTGTTGAGAACGCAAATATCAAAAATCAGCTGTTTGTATAAATAACACCAAAACAATTCTCCAGAAGGGAATGCTAATTTAATACGCACATTTGTCTGAACTAGCGATGTCTCGATACTCTAGACGAGAAAGTCCATTTTTAATTTGCCTACTGTGTTCCGTAGCGCGGTTTTGGTTTACATGTATTCAGGAAGACCTTTGATTCAGACCTTCATGCAACTCAAAGGGCGATCGATATTATTGCTTCTAAGTCATTATCGCCCTCTTAACCATCGAATGGGTCTTCTTGATGTTCATTCCTTAGCATTTCGAAATCTTTAAAGGTTTTTTTTTGGCTCTAAGCACAGACCTTTACCATCTAGAAGAAAAT